GCAGCTATAACTGCCCATTGCAAATGGCTGACTGAGGCTCCTGTGTCAGGAGCCAGTACGGTAAAATTACCTTCTGGCAGGAGTCACATGGTCCTCATTTGGAAAGGAATGTATATGCTTCCTCCCTTGTTGTCCCACAGATTTTAAGGGAAATTAGAGGGTGGGGATAGTTCAAGAAACTGCCTTACTCGGTCACACAAGTCTTTAATCATCAGAATAAACTTCTTTACACCGAGAGGTGTCATGAAGAACATTTTTATTATGAGAAGGTTTCAGAAGGCTTCCTTTTTGCCCCCTTTTGTCATGTTGTCCATTCACCCACCATCTAGTCCAGGAGTGGGCAAACTTTTTGACTCGAGGGACACAATGGGTTCTCAAACTGGACCGGAGAGCCGGAACAAAAGCATGGATGGAGTGTTTGTGTGAACTAATATAAATTCAAAGTAAACATCATTACATAAAAGGGTACAGTCTTGTTTTTTTTAGTTTTATTCATTTCAAACGGGCCGGATCCAGCCCGAGGGCTGTAGTTTGCCCACGGCTGATCTAGTCCCTTCCCCTGCACTGAACAAAATCCTAAACACCCCTCTTACTTGGAGAGTATCCATGGGTCATGTCAGGATTTTAGGTGATTGAATAAGGGACACACTGAGGAGAGAATATGTGTGGCAGTGTAGGAATAGGGACCCAAAAGAAAAAATTACTGGAGGAGAAACCAAGATGGCGGCATAGGTAAACACCGGAAATTGCTGCCTCCCACAACAACTTCAAAAATAAAATGAAAAGACAAAACGGCCATCATCCAGAACCACAGGAAGGCTGGCTGAGTGGAAATTCTACAACTAGAAGGAAAGAGAAAAGCACACTGAGACTCAGAGAAGCTGCGGAAGTAAAGTGCAGAGGTATGGAGGCTCGAGCGCGTGCGGAAAGGGGCTGGCACCTGAGGACGCGGCTGTCTTTTTGAATCGGGAGGGAGTCACAAGCTCCCGACTGCTCTGAACTCCGGTTCTGGGAAGTCTCTGGGGACCCAGGACTCATACGGGGAGAAACTGGACTGTCTGGCAGCAGGCAGAACTCGGAACTTGAGGGCGGCTTTCCCTCAGAGGTGCTTGCAGCAATTACCGGGACACTGAGACGCACGGCCCCTTAGGGCAGGGCTGAGGATCAGCCATAGCTGCTTGCTCCGCCCTGTTGATTCCCTGAGACCCCGCCCCACCCAGGCTGCGGCAGAGGCTTTTGCATATGAATGCCCTGGCCCTTTGCAATCTGATAATTACCTAACAAACTGCAGCTGGGTCAGACAGACCCAGAACTTCCAAGAGAAGGCCCAAGGCCCCACAGCAGCTTGCATTGCTTCACAACTGGGCCTCATCTGGGCACCTCCAAACTCCAAAAAAGGAAGGGGAATCTGCAGATCTCTTCATAGCTCCTGCTGGAGAGGCTAAATTAGCACCTCCTTAGATCCAAGAGCCAGTGTACCCAGTGGTCAGAGTGGGACCATCCAGATTACAACTCCTCAGATCCATAAGGGACACACTCAGGGGGCAGACTCAGTGAACACCAAAGCCCCACTGAAGCAAGTCTTGCCCCAGAAGGGTGTCTTCAGCACAGAAGTTCTCCCACTGCAGACACAGCTGATTCTCACAGCCAATTGGCCTGGGGGTCAATTCCTCCCACTGATACCTACAACAATCACGGCTTAACTACAACAAGACTGTGCACAAAGCCCACAAGGGGGTGCACCAAGAGTGTCCACCTCAGGTAATTGGGGAGGCTGAGCCACTGGGCCCTATAGGACACCTAGCACACAAAACCACTCTACCAACACAGGGAAGCATAAAAAATGCGGAGACAAAGAAACAGGTCACAAATGACAGAAATGGAGGAAAGCAAACTACTGGATATAGAGTTCAAAACCACGGTTATAAGGTTTTTCAAGAATTTTCTGGAAACTGCCGATAAATTTAGTGAGACCCTTGAGGATATGAAAAAAGACCAACTAGAAATTAAGCATACACTGACTGAAATAAAGAATAATATACAGAGATCAAACAGCAGACAAGAGGATCGCAAAAATCAAGTCAAAGATTTGAAATACGAAGAAACAAAAAATACCCAACCGAAAAAGCAAAAAGAAAAAAGAATCCAAAAATATGAAGATAGTGTAAGGAACCTCTGGGACAACTTCAAGCATACCAACATCAGAATTCTAGGGGTACCAGAAGAAGAGAGAGGGCAAGATATTGAAAACCTATTTGAAGAAATAATGACAGAAAACTTCCCCCACCTGGTGAAAGAAATAGACTTACAGGTCCAGGAAGCGCAGAGAACCCCAAACAAAAGGAATCCAAAGAGGACCACACCAAGACACATCATAATTAAAATGCCAAGAGCAAAGACAAAGAGAGAATATTAAAAGCAGCAAGAGAAAGACAGTCAGTAACCTACAAGGGAGTACCCATACGACTGTCAGCTGATTTCTCAACAGAAACTATGCAGGCCAGAAGAGAGTGGCAAGAAATATTCAAAGTGATGAATAGCAAGAACCTACAACCAAGATTACTTTATCCAGCAAAGCTATCATTCAGAATAGAAGGTCAGATAAAGAGCTTCACAGAAAAGAAAAAGCTAAAGGAGGTCATCACCACCAAACCAGCATTATATGAAATGCTGAAAGGTATTCTTTAAGAAGAGGAAGAAGAAAAAGGAACTCTTACCATTTGCCACAGCATGGATGGAACTGGAGAGCATTATGCTAAGTGAAATAAGCCAGTCAGAGAAGGATAAATACCACATGATCTCACTCATTTGTGGAATATAAGGAACAACATAAACTGATGAACAAGGACTGATCCAGAGACGGAGAGGCATTGATTGGACTGTCTGGCCTTGGAGGGAAGGTCGGGGAGGGTGGGGGTAAGGGGGAAAGATCAACCAAAGGACTTATATGCAAGCATATAGGCCTAACCAATGGACACGGACAACGGGAGGGTGAGGGCATGAGTGGGGGGGGGGGGGGGGGGGAGTAGGGGGTAATGTGGGGATAAGGACACATATGTAATGTATTAATCAATAAAAAATATATTTTAAAAAAAGAAATATAGGAAGGAGTAAATAACAATGAAAATGGTAAAAATGTGGGTAAATCTACATAAATATTCACTGTATAAAATAATGTCTTGTGAGTTTTATATATAGAATTAAAGTTGTAACAACAGTAATGAAAAAAAAAAAGAAAAAATTATTGTTCATAAACTTGCTACCTTTCTCATTCTAAATATAAGGCAGAGTTTTGACTTAATCGGCAAAATGGCATCAGCTGGTATCTGTCATTAATTAGTCCTGGTCTGGGAAACTTTTCTGGAATAAAAACTTGCACAATAGCAGCAATATCTTTTTTTTTTATATATATATTTTATTGAATTTTTACAGAGAAGAAGGGAGAGGGATAGAGAGTTAGAAACATCGATGAGAGAGATCGATCAGCTGCCTCCTGCACAGCCCCCAGTAGGGATGTGCCCGCAACCAAGGTACATGCCCCTGACCGGAATCGAACCTGGGACCCTTGAGTCCGCAGGCCGACGCTCTATCCACTGAGCCAAACCGGTTCGGCTAGCAGCAATATCTTTACATGGGTGACCGAATCATTATAAAACAGGAGGCTGCTGCATCTGTGATGCCGATGACTGCTTGTGTTGACAAGACTAATCTTGTGCTGCTAATTAGATTTCATGCTATGTACTGTACTGTGACACCTTAAAGATAAAGTTATAGGTTACTAAGGCCTCTTGAGCCCAAATAGCCAGTAAAATGGGAAAATCTAATAAAGCTGCAATATGTTGCTAAAAAACAAAAAACAAAAAAAATCTTTTGTGCAAAAAGGAAATACTGACTACAAATTGCTTTTACTGTGAAATGAACACAACTCAAAATGATGTTTCATAATACTTCAAATTGACATAGCTCTACATTACTTGTGTGAAGAATTTATATCTAGTTTTTTGTTTGTACATATGTAACATTATACTAAAAATAAGTAAATTCTGGCAGACCTGGAGAAATTCTTCCATTTAAAAGGAGTACATTACAAAATTGAAAACCACTGTCCCTAAGAAATAAAATTTTCAAAATACATTATGGCACAATATATCAATGTTTTTTCACCTTAAGAAAAAAAAAAAAACCCATAGGAGTTAGAGAAAGATATAGGAAACTTAAGAACAACTTGTAAGTATAAAAGGAAAACAGTATAAAACCTGAGAAACTATCACAACAAATTAAGTCTCTCAAAGAAAATGAAACACCCCCCAAAAACGAAACCAAATTTCATGGAAGTATAGAAATATCTTACTGTTTAGTTATAAAACTTCAAAGTTTACATAGTATCAAAAATAAACATATACTCACCCACATTTTACTAGTAGCTATTAGAAAAGCGATCTAATGAATGCCCCTACAGTCGTAAATGAAATATTTTAAAAAACAAATTATTGCCTAAATATTAGATTAATAAATTATTAAACTGCTAGAAGCTATATTAAAAGCAATAAAAAAAACAGAATGCTTAATGTATACTTTAATCATTAGGAAACTCAGCTTCCCTTTGGGCAAATACTGCTGAAATCATAATTCTTTCCTCATTTATTTTTGAAGACATTTCAGAAACATGATAATTCTAAAACAAAATAAAAGAGAAGCTTGAAAGGAAGGAAATTGGATGGGGAATCAAGAAACAGAAGTCCAATTCCTGGTTCTCCAAATTATTCTGTGTGGCTCCAGGCAAGTCATTTACAACTCTTAATATTTCTACTCATTTCTTAGTGATGGAATAGAAACCAAGAATGTCTCTAAATAGAGTTCCTCAGGAAGAAAGCACCTTGCATATAAATAATGCTGTTACCTGAGTACATTAAAGATCAAAAAATGTCTTTGAGGAAGGAGACACAGGGCCCATCACTAAGAACTGCATGTAAGAGGCAAGAATAGCAAAAAGAACATACCTTCAGGTTTTGGGGTCTTGTGAATTTGTTGAGAAGTGCAGTCTGAATGAGCTCCCACCTGCTCCCTGCAGTTCGCTCACCATTCTTTGAGGAAAAGAAAAAAACAAATGAGAAAACTACTCTAAGTTTTTTTGCATCATAGAAGCAAGAGTCAAACAAGAATGTACTAAACTACCAAAGACTAAAGGAATATGAGCTTTGTTTTTACCTCATCTTCCACAGGGTACAAGTTTTGTTCTGAACAAGGCATCTTTACATGCTTATTGTCCCACAAATCTTTAAAATGTGTTGGAAAAGGTTTAGGAACTTCTCCTGCCCGTAAAAGATCTACCTGGAAGAGAGATTAACAAGAAAATTGTAAGTGTATAAAAACTAGGTGTATCATCTACAAAAGAAGTCAAATAAAGCAGCCAAAGCAAATGCTACAAAATACAGACTAGCTCCTAGGGAAGAGACCTTCTTAAGCTGCTTAGCAGTTTCCACTCCTTACCTCCATTTAATCTGTTGCCTGGTCACCATGCTCTGGACATCTATCTCCATCCCATCGAGGCCTCTAATCCTCATTATTCCTTGCCTGAATTTCTGCCAACAGCCTTCTATCCCTTTCCCTCACTCCAGCTGTTCCCAGAACATTCATCCCTCTTTCACATTTCATGCTCATTTGAGAATGACATTATCTTTCTCAAGTATTCCCAAGCCCACCCCCCTTATTTTAAAAAATTAAATATACTGTTATTGATTTCAGAGAGGAAGAGAGGGAGAGAGAGATAAAGCATCAATAATGAGAGAGGATCATTGATCGACTGCCTCCTGCACACCTCCTACTGGGGATCCAGCCTGCAACCCAGGCATGTGCCCTGACCGAGAATCGAAGTGTGACCTCCTGGTTCATAGATAGATGCTCAACTGCTGAGTCACATCAGCCAGGCTCCAGGCTTCTAATCTTATAATGACTCCTCTCTGCCTATACTCTGATTCCAAATGATATTCCCAGTTTTTAACATCTTGTCTTATCCAAACACTATCTGGTTAAACATCTATTCTGACCTTTAACACTCAGCCCAATTTTCATTTCCTCTAAGAAGTCTTCAAAAACTTTTAAATGGTAGTTCGTTTACCAGTGGTTCTCAACCTGTGGGTCACGACCCCTTTGGGGGGGTCAAACGACCCTTTCACAGGGGTCGCCTAAGACCATCAGAAAACACATATATAATTACATATTGTTTACAGTAGCAAAATTACAGTTATGAAGTAGCAACGAAAATAATTTTATGGTTGGGGGTCACCACAACATGAGGAACTGTATTAAAGAGTCACGGCATTAGGAAGGTTGAGAACCACTGGTTTACTCCCTCTTCTTTTATTAGGTCATTATCATAGTAGAGCACAATGGTTTTTCCTTACCCCACTAGACTCTAATCTTCTTGAGAATAATAATAATCATATTAACTTTGTATTCTGAATATTTACTAAAGAATAAAGCATGTATTTATATGTATAATGTATACACATATATGTAAATATGCACATTTATGTTTGTATACACATATGCTATTTATAATAAGCATTCAGTAAATGTTTGAGAAAGAAGATATTTTAAAACACAAAAGTTCTGCCCTGGCCAGTCAAAACAAAGACCATAACAAGAGACAAAGAAGGCCACTACATAATACTAAAGGGAATGATTCAACAAGAAAATATAACCCTTGTAAACATATATGCACCCAATACTTGAGCACCCAAATATATAAAAAAACTCTTGATGGACTTTAAGGGAGAGATCGACAGCAATACATTCTTAGTAGGGTACTTTAAAATCTCACTGACTAGATCTTCCAGACAAAAAAATAAACAAGGAAACAGAGGCCTTAAATGACACAATAGATCAGATGGATCTAACTGATATTAACAGAACATTTCACCCCAAAACTACAGAATATACATTATTCTCAAGTACACAAGAAACATTCTCAAAGATAGACCACATGTTTGGACACAAAACAAATGTATACAAATTCAAGAAGACTGATATAATACCAAGCATCTTTTTGGATCACAATGGCATGAAGTTAGAAATCAATAAACTACAATAAAATACCTCAAAAACACGCAAATACATGGAAGCTAAATAGCATGTTATTAAACAATGAATGGGTTACCAATTAGGTCAAGAAATTCAAAACTTCCTGGAAATAAAAGAAAAAACACACACAAACACCCAAAACCTATGGGACACAGTGAAAGCAGACCTGAGAGGGAAGTTCACAGCATTACAGGCCTTCCTCAAGAAACAAGAAAAAGCACTAATAAGCTATCTTAACTGGACAACTAAATGAATTAGAAAGAGGACAGCAAGAAAAGCCCAGAGGAAGTAGAAGGAAGGAAATAATACAGGTCAGAGCAGAAATAAATGACATAAAGACTAAAAAAAAAGTAAAAAAAAAAACCACAATGGATCTAAGAGCTGGTTCTTTGAAAAGATAAACAAGATTGATGAACCCTTAGCCAGGCTCATCAAGAAACATAATGAAATCAGAAATGAAAGAAATGATATAACCACAGAAATATAAAGGATTGTAAGTAAATACTATGAACAACTATATGCCAACAAATGGGATAAATTGGGCAAAATGGACAAATACCTAAACCATACAATCTTCCAAAACTCAATCAGGAAGAATCAGAAAACCTGATAGGCCAGTAACAACTGATAAAACTGAAGCAGTAATTTAAAAAATCCCAGCAAGCCTGGCCGGCATGGCTCAGTGATCGAGCATTGACCTATGAACCAGGAGGTCATGGTTCGATTCCTAGTCAGGGCATATGCCCAGGATGCGGGTTCGATCCCCAGTGGGGGACATGCAGAAGGCAGCCAATCAATGATTCTCTCTCATCATTGATGTTTCTAACTCTCCCTCCCTCTCCCTTCCTCTATGAAATCAATAAAAATATATTAAAACAAAAACAAAACACAAAATTCCGAGCAAACAAAAGTCCTAGGACCAGATGGATTCACAGGAGAATTTTACCAAACATTCAAAGAAGAACTAACACCTATTCTCTTCAAACTATTCCGAAAAATCAAAGAGGAAGGAACACTTCCAAGCTTTTTACAAAGCCAGCATTATCCTAATTCCAAAACCAGATAAAGACACTACAAGTAAAGAAAATTATGTGCCAATTTCCCTGATGAAAACATGCTAAAATCCTCAACAAAATATTAGCAAATTAGATCCAGCAATATATTAAAAGGATCATATGCCATGATCAAGTGGGATTTATTCTGGGGATGCAAGGCTAGTACAATATTCACAAATCAATAAATGTGATACATCACATTAATAAACTGAAAGATAAAAATTACATGATCATATCAATAGATGCAGAAAAAGCATTCGACAAAATTCAGCACCTTTTGATGAATCAGCAGCCCTGGCTGGTTTGGCTCAGTGGATAGAGCACAGGCCTGCGGACTGAAGGGTTCCAGGTTCAATTCCAGTCAAGGGCACATGCCCCAGGTTTTGGACTCAATACCCAGTAGGGGGCGCACAGGAGGCAGCCAATCAATGATTCTCTCTCATCGTTGATGTTTCTATCTCTCTCTCCCTCTCCCTTCCTCTCTGAAATCAATAAAAATATTTTTTAAAAACTCTTAGCAAAGTGGGAATAGAGGGATCATACCTCAACATAATAAAGGCCATATATGACAAATCTACAGCCAACATAATATTCAACGGGCAAAAAAAGTGTTTCCCTTAAGAACAGGAACAAGACTGGGATATTTGCTTTCACCACTCTTAGTAAACATAGTACTGTAAGTCCTAGCAACAGCAATCAGACAAGAAGAAGAGATAAAAGGAATCCATGTTGGAAAGGAGGAAGTAAAACTCTCATTACTCAGAGATGACATGATACTGTACATAGAAAACCCTAAAGACTCCACCAGGAAACTAATAAATGAATTCAGCAAGATAGCAGGATACAAAATCAACATCCAGAAATCAATGGCATTTTTATACACTAATAATTCTCAGAAAGAGAAACTAAACAAACAATCCCATTTACCATTGAAACAACAACAAAAATAACTAGAAATAAACTTAAAGATGGAGGTAAAAGACTGTACTTAGAAAACTACAGGACATTGAACAAAGAAACAGAGGAAGATACAAACAAATGAAAATGAATACCATGTTCATGGATTAGAAAAATTAACATCATTAAAATGTCCATACTACCCAAAGTAATCTATAGATTCAACTCAATCCCTATTAAATACCAACAGCATACTTCCCAGAACTACAACAAATACTCCAAAAATTTATATGTAACCATAAGAGACCCCAAATAGCTGCAGCAATCTTGAGAAAGAAGAACAAAGTTGAGGGATCACAATACCAAATATCCAACCATACTGCAAAGCCATTATAATCAAAACAACCAGTACTAGAACAAGAACAGGCATATAGACAAATGGAACAGAACAGAGACCCCAGAAATTGACCCACACCATTACAGTCAATTAGTATTTGCAAAGGATGCAAGAGCATACAGTGGAGTAAAGAACATCTCTTCAACAAATGGTGTTGGGAAAACTGGATGAACACATGCTAAAAGATGAAACTAGACCACCAACTTACACCATACACAAGAATAACCTCAAAATGGATAAAAGACTTAAATGTAAGCCATGAAACCATGAAAATCCTAAAAGAGAATGTAGGCAGTAAAATCTCAGACATCTCACATAGCAGAATTTTTGCCGATACATCTCCTAGGGCAAGAGAAACAAAAGAAAAAAATAAAAAGCTTCTGCACAGCAAAAGAAACCACCATCAAAATGAGAAGCGGGGGGGGGGGAACCAAGATGGCAGCATAGGTAAACACCGGAGATTGCTGCCTCGCACAACCACTTCAAAAATACAACTAAAAGACGGAACGGACATCATCCAGAACCACAGGAAGGCTGGCTGAGTGGAACTTCGACAACTAGAAGGAAAGAGAAAAGCATAACGAGACTCAGAGGAGGTGCGGTGCAGAAGTAAAATACAGAGGTACAGAGGCGCATGCAGAGAGGGCTGGCGGCTGAGGACACGGTTGTCTTTTTCAATCGGGAGGGAGTCTCAAGCTCTGAGCTCCAGTTCCGGGAGAGTCTCTGGGGACCCAGACTCATACGGGAGAAACGGGACTGTCTGGCATCGGTCGGCACTCGAGGGCAGCTTTCTCTCGGAGGTGCTTGCAGCGATTGCCAGGACACTGAGAAGCAGGGCCTCTGAGGGCAGGACTGAGAGCAGCCATAACCGCTCGCTCCGCCCTGTTGATCCCCTGGGA